ATCTCAGGAAGGGGATTTAGAACAGCTCTCTTTTTGTGCCATTTGAACTTTAAAAGACAAAAAATCTGATTTATTTTCTTTAGCCCAAGGGAACTTCTGGGTTCCTTCTTGTTTTCATTTTGCAGTGGCGAGATATAGGAAGAGTGTTTGGGTAAATGCCAAACCCACATTTAGTATATCTTTTTGTTTTATTTGCAGCATTTGCACTTTTTTTTATAATAGACAAATACTAACCTATACCAAAACAAGGGAACATTTCAAGTGTTTGTTTCTGCTTCAGTTTCACAGCTATGAAGCACTGATAGTATTAGTCACCAAGGAACTGATTGGTAAAATTTGAAAATGCAGTCTGGATGAGGCAATATTATTGATTTACTCTATTTTACTGCTGTGAATGTTCTTGGAAAAAATACTCCCATTCTGCACAGAAAAGAAAAATTTTGTAAAAGATGTCCATAGAAATGAACAGATAATTACTGTTAAAGCTTGCATTGTCCAAATTGCAGAAGAAAAGCCCATTGGGATAAGAGATCAAGACAGAAGTAGCACATTTTTATGTTTTGTTTCTATAGTTAAAAGTTAATCAGTTATCAGCTATTAAAAAAAAACCTGAGAAAATAACCAGGAGTGTAACATCACATAAAATCATAAAATCACAAAATCACAGAATAGGGGACTTTAAAGATCATCTTGTTCCAGTCTCCCTGTCATGGGCAGGGATGTCACCCACTAGAGCAGGTTGCACGAAGCTCCATCCAACCTAGCCTCAAACACTTCCAGGCGTGGGTCTTCCATAACTTCTATGGACAACCTGTGTGAATGCCTCACCACCCTCACAATAAAGTATTTCTTCCTAATGCCTAATCTAAATCTACCCTCTTTCCGTTTAAAGCCATTGCCCCTTGTTCTGACCCGACACAGGTGCAGATCTTGCACATTAATTTAGTTAACATCAAGCCTTTGTTCTGCTTAGCACAAAAACAAATGGATAATGAAAACTGGCGTGAACACCTGCATCTACAAATTGATGTAGGGTATTCTTTCAGTGCTGAGTCTCATGAAAAATACCATGAGCACTACAAGGTGACACAGCCTCTTGGGAGGTGCTGCTGATCCTGAACACCTGTTGCTCTTCAAATGCAAATGGTAGTGCTGGTCTCTTGGCTGCTGAGCCAGTACCAGGTGCTAGGAACACTCAAGGCCATATAATGAATATAGGAAGAGGACATCACTTCACTGCTCTTTTGTGCTTTCCTGTGCCAAAATGCAGCTACAGAATTATTCATTTTTTCCTGGAGCAATCTGTGTCAATTAAACATATGGGTTTGTTTTGTGTTTGGTCTTTTTCTCTCTCTCTCTTTTTTTTTTTTATTTTTTTTTTTTTTTTTGGTGGGGGGATCTTTAGCACACACTGTAATAAAAAAATATAATTTTTCCTTGAATGTGAATCTTGGATGTTAATTGAAATCAAGGCAGGACGTTTGCAAGCAGAAGTGAAATCTCCTATTAGACAACTCACATATATACATTTAAAAAAAAAAAAACATGTAAAAGGCTTCAGGTGCTACAGTCCTACTTCAGTGTGAGTAAAAGCTTCACAGATTTTATTTTCGTGTAGGATAATTATTTCTGGAGTAGTTTTTCCGTCATAAGCCTTATATTTCTAACTACTATGGTTTGCAACAATAAACCATACTTCTCAAACATCTATTTCAGGAGAACAATCCCACTATTCAAGCATCACAACCACTGCTTGCCAGAGAACTTTGTTCACCTCATGGAGGAAGAGTCATGAAAGTGCTAATTAGGATATCTGCACAGATTTACCAGTTTGTGTACCTACAGGCAAAACTGTCACTTTCACTTTTAGTCTAGTTCAGTAATTTATAGATGTCAGAGGCTGCAAACCGTGCTTAATTCTTCATTCAATTAAAAAATTACACTTAATGAAATCTGTAGCTTTGCATGAATAACTGCTACATCAAAAACAGCGTTTGCTGGATAGAGTTCAAAGAACTGACCCAACTTATCACACCCTCTTAAGCCTCGCAGATTCCTTCTGCATCCTTCACCATGGTGGTGATCCAACAGAAAACCACTGCATTCTAATATTAAGCATGACATTAGGAAACGGCACAAAGCTACTGAAAGGGGCTTCAACAGTGAAAGGTTGTTTTTTAAATGTTTTTCTTACTGACTGGATATTTTTCTCTGCCTGTGATCTGTTACCCTGCAAAGACTGCTCTCCCAAATATATGTGCTCGGTAAGGGGTGAAAGGAGCTTATTGAGCCTGAATGTCTTGCAGAATCATCATGAAAATTTTCATTCCAAAGCACAAAATATATTTCTCTGCTCTTTGCCAGGCCAGTTAATGATGGAAAAACAGATGGTGTTTGCTCATTTGTCAAATTAAATATAATCCCCCCCAAAGGCAACCAAACACTCCTCGTGAACGATTTGGTTGATCGCTGTCATTAACACATCTCTTCAGGAAGTGGCAGTTATCCAGGAAGTGGCAACTATCCAGCCAGTGACTCAGTGTTCTCTTGCGCACAGCTACTCATTCCTGCTGTCTGTTCATTGTCCCTCAAATGCCACCTCAATCTCACTGATTTAATCGCTCCTCGTCTCCCTCCTTGTCCCGCTCCTGGTCTCTAACTGCAAATAGCCACATCCCAGCCTTCCTTCATCCCCTCCAGGGGTTCCCTGGACGGCTCCCGGTTCCCCACTCTTCTTCAGTCTCCTTGCTCCCAAACTACATTTTTCTGTCCTTCCTGGTTTTCCCCACTGAAGTATCCTTCCCTTGTGAGAATCAGCACCTCCTCTCCGGTCCAGACTCCTCACTCCTCATCCAGCTTTGGCACCTGCCCTTCCACCACTCTGAGATTCCCCTGCATTCCCCCTCCATCCCTCATGACCAATCTCCTGACTGACTCCCTTTCAGGATAATCCTCTAATTTTCCACATCTTCATGTGATATATAACTCCAGACTTAGAAAGGGCTGGAGGGACAAGAGGTTCAGAGTGTCCAACTCTGGGACATTAAATGTTTACAGTATTTTCAAATTAGGTGCATATTCTAGCACTTTGAAGCTCAATGTGTTTTTCAAAGGCTTTTTAACATGCTTGCAGGCTTTGTTCTTTGCTGTAAAAAATAAAAAAAGAATACAAAAAAAAAAAAGAAGGAAGAAGAAAAAGGAAATAAAATAAAATAAAATAAAATAATAACAGCCCACCAACCCTCCCTCCTTTATTCACAGCTGCCTGAGTTAATAATTCTCTGTTTCTTCTGTGATTATCCAGAAGAAAATTGAGGGGAAAGCAAACTAACTGACAAGCTTTATATTTTAAATTAATTCAATCTTCCTGGGAATAAAACCACCTTAAAAGCTTGCAGATAGTTATTATGCCTGAGAAGTACTGAAGAAAAAGGACTTATCTACACCTGAACAGGCAGTTTCACTTATTCCATATGATTGAGAGTAAGCATATGATTAAACACTTTGCTGAATTTTAGGCACTAAATGCAACTCTGCAAAAACCTGAGCACTCTTCCACTAATATGAACATGTTTGTGAAGCTTTCAAGTGAAACTTCCTATTACTAGCATTCTTCTAAATATCATGCAGGCAATATCATATTGTTCATAGTTGGTGCTTTCTTAAACTGAACTGCATCTTTATTAATGTAAACAGTCTATTTTTATGAATGCACTACTTCAAAAGAAATCAATAAAAATACTATCTCAGCAATTGCATGAGTCAATACAGGTATATCTGAAGATCTTGCAAATACTTTCCTTTTAATGATCCATGTCATTCACTTGGACATGACATCTGTCGTCAAGTTTCACCACAGATGGGTGAAAAGGTAGTTGGGTGAGAAGAGTGGGAAGGGAAACAATTGTCCATCCCCCTTGGCACCACCCAAGCCTCTAGGGGTATCAGTGGGGGATCAGCAGGTATCAGCTGCCCACCTGCCCCACCTTCCTGCCATCTACCCTGTGGCTCCAAGAGGAGTTTACATATTCATTTAAAAGCAAACAAACAAATAATAATTAAAAAACCCCAACAAATCACAGAACTGGTCAGTACATAATAGCATTTTCTAGTAGATGTGATTCATCTAAGAGAAGGCAACCACTTGCTGCCTGAGTGGTCAGCCAGGAAGAGGAGGAAAGAGAAAACATTTCTGTGCTGTAGTTCTCATAAAACACAAAACTGAAATAGGTCAGCTAAACAGCACTTTCACAGTGCCACTTCTCCCTGTTGACCACAAAAACAATGTCAGGAGGCATGATCAAAGGTGGTTATCACAGTTTAGATGTGCTAAAATAAATTGATTGTGTGCTTTGCTTTTTTCATTGTGATCAATGGGGCACAGATATTTTCCTCTGAAACTCCCCTCTGCCTCACTACTTTTAAATACATTTGTATGAACAATGGCGTTGACACAGACCTAGTTACCCGTGACATACATTAGAAGCAAGACAACCTACTGCATGCACAAGAGAAACTTACAGAAGAAGAAGAGGCATTTCAAACTGAACTTGATTATGAATGAAATTTGCAAAAAGCCAACAACAACAAAAAAAAACATGCTGAAGAATTGCAGCCATGCAAGATGCATTTAAGAGACATGTAGATGTGGCACCTGGGGACAGGGTTTAGTGGTGGGCTAGGCAGTGCTGGGTTAATGGTTGGACTTGATGGTCTTGGAGGTCTTTTCTAGACTCAATGATTCAATGATGCTCAGTGTTCACAGAGTAGCTCTGCACTCTGGACCCCATAGTCTGGGCAGAAAAACCCACCTGGAAAGCAGCACAGCTGTCCTGGAAAGCAGCACAGCTCAGAGAGAAACTTCCTTGGAGGCAGTTTTTGGGGCAGGTATGATGTTATACAGTGACTACACACAGGAAATCTCAAATCTTCGTTCGCGAAGCCCAGCCATGATGACACATAGGAAAACACAAGTTTTGGTTCTAAACAGAAAGCACGTATTTTCAAATAAATGTATAAAAATGTATTTACAATAAATGAAAACAAGCAAATGAGGGCCACTACATCACATACTATACCTAACAACTTCCTCTTTAACCAACAGAAGCAGGAAGAACGAGTTATACATAACAATTTCTTGTCACATTATTTGATGATGTGATTGTCACATTATATGATAATTTGAACAAGAGGAGTTCAATGAGGAGAAGGAAAATAAATACCTCTATAGATTCACAGTACTAATGCATGAACAGGCATAAAAAAGCTCACTAAAAAATGCTGAAGTGTTGTACTTCCATTTGTGGCACTTAATAAACACCTAAAGATCAGTCAAATACCAAAAAATTAAAAATTTCCATTTCATTTATACTGAAGGCATTATAAGTAGAAACTGTTAAGTATATAAACATAACCTTTACACCTGACTATTTACCTTTAGCTTTGTAATAAGTTTTATAAGCCGTAACATACTATATCCCCTCTTAAAATTTAAAAAAGTTCTAGCAAAATAGAGCTTCTAAAATGTCAAATATTATAAGGTACTCTACTGTAAATAAGACTTTCTGAAATGCAAAAAAAAAAAGTCCTTGGCAGAAGATCAGTCACATTTCAGGCAATGCAGGGCTTTTTATCCTACTCAATTCTACGTGTTTCAATCCTTTAACATAACATTAACAATAGAATTTAATCTGGAGATGATCTTCGTGGCACAGTGCATTTTTATTTCATGACAGTGGTTCTTCATTGGTGCATTCCTCAGGATTCTGCTTTCTGGCCACGACCTACTCTGCTGCTTCTGAGTGGCTTTGTTTCCCCATAGCTAACTCACCACCATTTTTGTACTTTTCAGCAAAATAGTCAGAGTCAAAGCTCACAGACAAATCTGGAGGACACACATAAACGCTTCCATTGTCTATTGTGAGCTTATGAATCCTTTGTTTGACTCCTTTTGATTGCCACTGTGGTGTTGGTGATGGCTCCAGAGGGTTTATTCCTTCATATAATCCTTCTCCTGTTTCCAAGGTAATTTTAAACTTATGCCAAGGACAAACAATGCATGCTTGGCCATGGATATCCTGCGGGAAGAAGAAGAAAAGATAGCAAGTCATCTTCTAGGACAAAAGATATGTTTGATGATTTGGCTGTATGGCTGTCTGCTGTTATATAACAAGTTTTTTCAATGGTATGCTCAGATAAAAGTAGTAGAAAAAATGCATTAGAGTTTTCACATGACTCTATGGATTATTTTTATTTTGTTTACATACCTCTATTTCTCCACGACACAAAGGGCCTCCTTCATCTGAAAAATGGCAGAATAGCATAATTATTTATGTAGCAAACATATTTTATGCTTAATTATTGCAACATTGAGATCATATGTGCAAGTATCTTACGGTAGCAGCGAGAGTCCAGAGCATGAAATTTCCCCTCATGGTAGAAAACAACAATTTCTCTGCCATTGATTTTGGCTGTTATTCTTCCAGACTTCTTTATGTCCTCTTCTTTGCCAATAAATATAAGACCATCTGGCCTCATTTCAGCTGCTCCTCTGCTTGAGCTGTGCAAATCTACATCCTTAAAACACACAAACACACACACAAATAAATGAAAAAAACACTTATAAAGCAGGTCACATTTGGATTTCTATGGTACAGTAGATGTCCCAGAGAAAACCCTGATACATGAGATGAAAGGAGAAATTTTAGTGAAAGACTATCAACACACAGACAAAGAAAAGCACAGGAGTTTAGTGATAATATTCAGTCCACATGTTCACTAACAGAACAGGGACAAGTGAAACCAGCTGTTGCAAACCTGATACCTGAGGCTGAGGTAAGATAAATTCTCAATCACTATTCACTTACTCTGCACTTTAACCACCTTCTCCCCTCAAAACCTATATGCAAACAAATACAAAGATGGTAAATGTAACGTACTATATAATTTATTTATGCAATGAGTAACATTCACTTGTAAATCCAATATTCTTTAAATAATAATATGGCTAGAAAGATAAAGTGATGTAAGTTGATAAAAAAATTATTCTACAAAAGGGAAAAAGCATTGTTTATTGAGCTGTATTCAACTTGACCTTTCTAACAAATGTGCCTGCCTTTCCCTTCCTCCTCTTATGTATTTCAAACATCTAACAGACTCTCCCTCTCCCAACAGATTATATAAGCAGCTTTATCACAAAAACTGCCTTCCCATTAAATTTACTTACAATTACCTACTGTGTTCCAGTTCCCTTCAAATTCCCAGTACAACTATGCTACTCTCACTTCCTCAGAAAAATCAGTTTAAAACAGGTCTTTATAAACACAGAGTCCAAAGGGAAACTGCAGGTGGGAGGGCCTCTGGCTGCAGGGTATGTAGAGCCACTGAAAGCCGCACTGTACCTTTGCTCCACACCAGATGGCAATGGATATGAGAAAGCAGATGAAGAAATGGATGCTGAGGATGATGAGGTCCAGCATTGCCTCTCTTCACGTTGTCTATCTGCCAGGCCTGGTTGATATCTGTCATGACGTGCATCACAGTGCCTCTTTATGTGCAAATGGGAGGCAGTGGGGCTGGCCTCTATAGCACCCTATGGCAGGATGTATGGAGGCTCAGCACGTCAGAACCCAGCTCTGCTAGGGCTGATAAGAAGCTGGGACATGCTGGGGCTGGCCTGATAACAAAAGAGGAGAGCTTCACATTCCTCCTTCTGCTGTCCTCACTGTGAGCCCATGTGAATGCTGCCTTCTCCCAAAACCCTGCTCAGCCACAGGTATGTGACATGTGTTCTCAGGATCAGCAACTGCATATTTCCATGTTTCACTGCACTGGGAAAAGTGGTTTAAGTGACAGTGTGACATTTCCAAGGCCAGTTGTTAACTGATCAGCACGTGATCAACTGTATAGACTGGCCAACTCTCTGCTTTCCAGTTCAAGGAACTTCCACCCAGTCTTACCCAGAAAGTGAAACGTCACTATCAGACTCACAGGACAAACCAATAAGGCACTGACACTTATTTTCTTCGGGAAATAAGCATAGCTTGTAGTGAATTAACCATAAGAACCAGAGTAGGAAATCCCCAATTTTTGCTATCACTGTTTGGCTGACTCTGCCTATAAGCTTTCCAAATTGGCCAAAACACTGAAATGCAAAATATAGTTAGAAACACCCTTAATGAGGACACCTCTCAAAAAACTGTGTATATAAATACATACACCTATAGCAATACACACACATACATATGTATTTGTACAAACACGCATACACATGTATGCATGTCTGAACCATTATTAAAATAACACCACCTAACCTCTAGCTCATTTAGTGATGACATTTCTACAGACAGCCTGAATTTTGCATGCATTAATTATCTAGGCACCTCATTCTGAAACCTGAGTCAGCACATTGTGGAGCCTGTATGGCCCAAATTGCATAAGAGATCAATAGCAACAGCTTCATTTCACAGCTAATACTTGTATGCTTATCTACACCCAACTGCACATTAAGGACTACCCTGGGACAATAGGCATCCTACAAAAGAAAGCCCTTGAAGCAACTTGTTATTATGCTACTGAGTTAGTTAAATGCAAGGTGGCAAAAGACTTTCTTTCCTTAGATAAGGGGTGTAGTTAAATACTCCTTATCATGAAATACCCGTAACAAGACCCTCTTACTGCTCATGGCCACTTTCTCATCCATGAAGTGGATGTGAACCCACAAAGTATGAACAGAACATGAGATATTTCAACTCAGAGGCAGCAAAAGGCCCCAAGGAGGCAACAGATTCTTGCCTCCACAGCTGGTGCCAGATGAACAAAGATCTGCTTTCTCCTCCCTTTCCTTAAACAGCACAATCACAGGTGTTAAGCTTTAGCACAGATAAGGAGACATCTGATCTGGTGACAATCACCTGCTGACCAAAAGCACATTAAAATGACAATTTTTCTCTCATAGCCCCATGGGAAGCGCATTGTCCTTTGCACTATAAAGTGCTTTGCTCCCGTGTTCTTTTTTGTTTGTTTGTTTGTTTGTTTGTTTGTTTTTCAAGGTTGTTAACCATGTTGAAACCATCCATTCAAGTAAGACATGAGTAACAATGGGTCACATTACCCCCTAACAGGTCCCATGACAGAATCCTGAGCTACCAACCAGCTACTAGAGCAGCACCTGGTTGTGGAAGTGAGTGCATTTCAGTCAGTAAGAGAAAAGGTTACTTCCACACATATAGACAGTAAACTAGTCTTCTAATAGATTTTTTTCCTGATGTTTTCTTAAGAGTTTGGCTGCTCTGATATTTCTGGGTCACCGCAGATGGCACAGATGCAGTTGTCCCTGTAGCCAAGTGCCACCTGGTGGGGGGGTTTGGGAGCAGCAGAAAGGTTTCAGATTTGTGAATTGCAGCAACTCATTTCTGTACCCTGCTCTAACTCATTTTCCTCTGTTCTGGGAAAAGGGAAAAATACCACTGCTGTGTGGGGCATGGGCCAAGCGTGCTCTGGTGACATGAGTGGGTGTGGGCACCATCCTGCTGCTGCGCCTGTGGTCTTTTACCTTAGTATTGGCTGAATTTGGGGAAGACCAGGGGTTTTTTTTGTTTTTGTTTTTGTTTTTTAATTTCTACTTTATTGTCTTTATTTTTCCTATATTTTCATGCCAAACACACTTACAGAAGAAGGTAAGATCAGCAGGATGGTAGTAGCTGCCTGGACATTGTTCCTATTCAGAGCCTGATTTATTTGGCAACCTTACAAAGCCTTAACGCTATTTTGGTCATATTTTGTGGATTTTGTGATACCTCATTCAGAAATAAAATTGGTCGGTCCAAGACATTACTTTTTTTGTTGTAGTTTAAATCCACTAGAACAGTGTGAATGTGACCTTTGCATTTCAAGCAGGCTTATGCAATTCTTACATTAGTTAAAGAATGAGCGGTACAGACTGAGCAGGGGACTGTAACAGGCATACTACAGTGGGATGTATGTGAGTAAAACACCCCTTCTTTTGGCAAAAGCCTTCTAAAACATTGTCATAATTACTCCTGCCTAGCATGCTTTAAGGCAGAGCAGTGAAGGAATAGTTCTCTGAGATTGTACCCTCCTCATTTAGCTCTGGTATTGTTCATGAGATTTTCACTGCACTGACTGAACAAGCTGATATTTTTGGTCATTTTGACAATACAAATAAAGCCAAACGTATGTTCTTCTGTGACATGAGAGCTCTATTTTCTGTGGGACTGTGCAAATAAGCAATTTGCAATGTTTATGGCTGGTACCATATGTGTGTCAATACCCTCAGTATGTTGATGACAGCTCATGCATATGAAAATGATTGACAAACCACAGTGGCAACATTGAGAGCTTGGTGGCTCTGGGATGGAGCTATGTTATGTGCTGTCATCAGATCTGGAATGAACCTTGCTGATACCTGATGGAGTAAGAGGTATTTCTGCATTCACACAGCCAGCTGCCGTGCCAGATTCCTGAACGAACTGACACCCAAAGAGTCTAAAATGCTGAAAATAAACCACACAGGTCTTGCATTCTGCAGTGGTTTACGTGCATTTGGGCTCCCACAGATGCAGCTCAGGTGGGGACTGAGGACAGTTAGTTCAGAACAAGGCTCCTACTTGTGCCAGGTTCCACTAACTCTTCCACGGGGCTTTTCCTTGTTGGTTGTGTGTGACAAATCAGCACAGGACCTGGGCCTAACCATGTCCTTGTTCCCTGTCTGGCTCTCACCAACCTATCCAGTATCCTTTCTCTACACTTCATTCTTTTCTATTATATCACATCATGTATCAAAACTTGGTGGAAGCTCACATTGTATTGGATTTACCTGTAAAGGGAACAGGAGCTGTATGACAAGGAGCTGTAACATCTCAGCCTCAACAAGTGTTCTCTGAGGAAGTTAGGCTTAAGGTGACTTTTCTTAGGCGAAGACATTGCTCCAAAAACAGTGACCTTGTGTGATGTTTTTACAGAACTTCATTACAATAATTCATATCTACTCAATTACTGCTGCTGATAAAAGGTTCTTAAAAATGTTGAAACTGTGCTGTGTAAATGGCTGCTGAACTTTAGATGGGAAGCAATAGCGGTGAAGCCTAAATCACCCTCCAGCAGGCAGAAAGAGGCTGTAAGGAACATCACAGGGTACATGTTCTGGCTCTCTGATCTTGTGCAGGATCACGTGTCCCTTTTACCATTTCTGACAAGTATTTTCAACTTATTTCTAATGAATTCCAGTGTCAGAGTTTAGCTGGCTTGGCAGGCTTGTTTTCATGTTTAGCCACTTGGAGTTCTTTACTTTTTTTTTCTCCAAACAGCTCATCAGAACAGGCCTGCCTGAAAAACAAAGTGATTTCTTTTTCCGCTCTTGGTGGCAGCGTTTCCCATGCTTTTCTATGAACCTCAGTCACTGATGAGGACTTGTCAAGGTTTCTCCATTGGCTGATATCTTATATGGTTCACAACTTCCTTATTTATATTATTTGCCTCCAAATGCTCTCCTCTGTTTATGTCTCTCTTAAAATACAAAGTCATACAGCAGAGACAATACACCGAGCATTTACTGCAGTTAGTAAAACTATTGCCTCTTGTATCTTACATACATCATTCATTTAAATCACACTCAAATGTCACTCGTTTCCTTTGTCACCATATCATGCTGACTGATACCCTGTTTCAGGTTCTATAAAATTTTTATAATATTTTGCTTTTTATTTACCTGTGAAAATGCAGCCCACACAGATTTTTTTCCACCATTTTAGTATTTTTCCCTTTCCCTTTTATTTTGATGTTTAAATAACCCATGAAGAATTTTACCTGATTGATTTCAGATTATTTTTCCAGTTAATCAGGACTCCTTTGAATTTTAACCTATCCTCAGGAGCACCAGTAGCTCTCCCAGGGTGCATTTTCTCATGCTTAGTAAGAAAAAGTACACACTCCTGTATGCAATTACTTACTAAAAAAATACCAAACATCACTGCATCAAATTCTTTCAGATCAATTATGTTATTTAGGGAAAAGGCACAAAGTAGGAAAAAAATGACTTTAAACTCCTTAGAGATGATACCACAATTTATATAAGAATCAGATCCAATAGAGATTACTGTATATAAGTTTTCGATAAGAATTTGGAAGACAAAGCTACTCAGATTTTATACCCTATTTTCATAGGATAACTGGTTCAAAAGTTTTGCGAGGAGACCAGCAGATAAATATCTCTTGTTCTATATTTAGGAAATCAATTTAAAACAATACAGAAAAAGATTTTTCACTGGCTTTTACTGCTAGAAATACAGCTTTATCTACTGCCCCATGTTCTCTCCAGGAACTGCCATTAACACGTGACGCTTGTGAAAGAGCAAATTTTGCAGACTGCATTTAGGTAGCCTAAAAGATCCTGGATAAAGCCTCAGATAGTTACTTCATCTAATGTTCAGTTCCAATGAGATTCATGTCCTGCTTTTTTGAGCAGAATTCACTTCAATAATTCACGCTTAACAGTAATTTCAGTCCTGTTTCTCTGATTCTCTGTCTCATAATGAGTACCTGCACTTCCAAGAAGGTAAGAACTGATACAGATTATCACATTTTATTATGCTTGCCCAGATCAATGGTATAATTCCTATAAAAAGTGTTTACCACATTTCTTCCACTTGACTCTTCATAATGGACATTTCTTTGATAAGCTATTGAACCTGCCATGCTTTCAGGTTTAATCTTATCTCTAGATGCATTTACACTGTAATTTCTAGAGTAAACTATTAGGCATGGTGGACAGCAAGGATTATCCATACCTGAAACACGTTTGTGGGGTTTTTTTTTGTTTTTTTTTTTTTTTTTTAGAACTTTTATTTTTTACTAACAAATAATCCGA